CCCAGAGTGCAGATACTTTGGGAGCTGGGTTTTCGAGGAATGCTACGCTCTAGCCCAAGTTGGGGACCAAAGCCAAACAGGCAATCAGCTTGCGCCGCAAGCGCGGTTCCATACCCGAGCCTTCGAAAAATGCCGCACTCTGCAGAAACTCAATTTTGAGAGAATCGAACATGATCCGCGTGAAGTGCATCGGATCATACCAGAGGGTTGTTTCTTGGAGGCAGGACTAGAGTTGCTAACTCTGCCGGCAGACTTTAACTGGATGGGGCCAGCTGCATGTGAACACTGCATCAGGTTGCAGGCAGTGGACATTTCGCAGACTGAAATCAGTGAAATTCTAGGGGGCACCTTCGCATATTGCTCTCAGCTGCAGCAGCTCAAACTAGCCAAAACAGTGAGACGCATTGGGCGAGACGCCCTCCTGAAGTGCACCTCTTTGGGCGTGATACATACCCCACCTGCCTTACTGTACATCAACAAACGAGCCTTTGCAGGATGTACACAGCTGCGCAAGCTCGTCAGGGTGGGCAAGAAAGGAACCTGGAGAGGCACCTATGCAGAACATGATGCTTTCGAGTTGTGCGCAAAACTTGCAGTCCCAACATGGATTCGGCTCCTCCCCAAGCCAACCGACGGCCAAGAAGAGTGGGCGGATTTCATGAGAAGCTGTGCAGAAGCGAATCTCAGCGCAGCCGCGCGTCCGTGAAGATGCACGCACATGTGTCGAAAGAAAGGGATTCCTAGAGTAGCTCGGCCAACCGGACCCTTGCTTGCTTGAAAGTTCGGAGTAAGCCATATGCCTGCCACTTGACATGCTGACTTCGCTATCTCTACTGAGTAGTTAGACAGTGCCCAAGGCTGCCTCCCAAGAGGTGGTCAGGGAGGAGTACAGTGTACAGTCCCTAGTACTAGGAATAGCGGCGTTTCACTGTTTCACGTAGACTATGGGGCCTGCATGTTTTTCTGAAGTCAAGAGCACTTGTGTGTCAAAGCGAGGATGCTGAACCTGCGAGGGCTGGTCAACAGAGTCTTGCCTGCAACACTCCTCGAGTGTACTGCAATGTCACGTCATAGTCATGCACTGTCATGCAGTGTCATACAGCTTCGTGACTGTCGCTCCTGACCGCCATTTTGGAACTGCTGTCATGGAGCGTGCTCTAGCCGCCTCCCCCCTTCGGGGGGGATGAGAGAGCTGTGGAGGCACTACTGCGTGCCTTCGTTCACCTTTACCTTGCTACCAGCAGGCCACGATCTTCGTAAGCTTGACCAATGATTCCACCAAGCAAAGCTCCCCCACGACATGCCCTTAGTGCAGTGGCACCCGTGCTCGGCCAACTGTGCGCTTTGCAAACTTCCTAGGGATTTTGAATACGGTGAGTCCCTCGCTACAGTGACTATCCATCGCCTTTGTACACTGACCTTTGGTTAGGCAAACACCCAAACAACTGCAATGAGCAGGAAGAAACCTGCCACCGACTGAAGGAGTCATCTGCCAGACTGTGTAGGTCGGCAAGGAGTAAACCAAAGCTGTCATAGGCAGAGTCGTGCTCTTTGATATAAGTTATGATTCGCCTATGCACTGAGCTTGAATTGCAATACTCCTCACACCTGCACACTTTTGAACACACCGTTGAGAGTTTTGCCTGTACGAAATAGCCGCAATTGTACTGCTGATCCTCATGAACTGAGCGCAGACAGAAATATGAATTCAATGCCCCGTCTCACCCTCCATTATTGGTGTTTACTTCATTTTTCACAATCCTGATGAGATATGAGCCGGTCTTGGTTCGTTTGGGGTTTGGGTTTGGTTGTTTGTTTGGTGTTTGGTGTTTGGGTTTTTGGTTGCTGTGCTTTGTTCTTTCCCTGGCTCGTATCTTCTCAGTTATCTCATCGAATTCAATCAAGGTGACTTGTGCCTCTCGGCACACATAGCGCCCGTACCCGTGCAAAAAAAGAGTGCTCTTGCACTGGCCTGACTCGCAGGCCTGCTGGATTCCTTTCGCCCAAAAACAAGCTAACTGCAAGCTAGCCAAACATGTTCCAGAGCTCACTACGGAATTCAATGCCCAACACAAAGAGTCATAGTTCAATTTCACTGATGTTTCACTCTATATGTACAGACTTGAATCTCCTTCTTTCTCGGTGCGTGTGTTTGTGTTTTGGTTGTTTGGTTTTGTTTGGGTTGTTTTTGGGTGTTTGTTGTTTTGCTCCTTTTTGAGACTTTGGAGATTCACTACTTTGTCCAAGATGACCTGTGCACCATGCACACATGGCGTCTCCGCCCGTGCAAAAAATGTTTGCAGAGTAGGGCACCTATATTTGGAGGATGGACAGGACGAGCCTTCTTTGGACTGGACTAGGAGGGGTCATACCCTGTGTTTGGTGTGAGGTTGATCCATACCGGCTTGCGAACTCTGGGGCACAAGGCAAAGGCTGTTTCTTCTGCATAGGGCCCCCTCTACGCACCCGCTCGCTTGGCAGCAAAGTGAGCTGCGACAGAAGGGTACAGTCGTAGAAGGCTTTGCAGGCAATATAGAGCAGCGTTGGCGGGACTGCTCAGTGCGGCACAATTCATAAAGGCTTTCACACGTATGGTGCGAAGGTGCGTGGGAAGCCAAAATGCTGGAGTCTTATGCAATTGGCGAACGCAAACTCCCGAATTGCGGGAATTGACGTGCTAGATAGGTCAACAAATACAAGAAATTTGCAATTGTCGCAAGCATGTGACCCTAGACTATGGAATTCAGGTGGCAATCTGAGGTCACCCAGCCCTGACGAGCCAAAGCATCCCCGTGGTACCTCTCGTAGCTGCGCAGAATTTGATTGATCCGCATCCATCGCAGATTGCATGAATGTAATGTTACTTAGATTTATGCATGCATCGAAGAGGTACGGGGCCAGCTTGGTTGTGCCGACAAATGCGTTGTCTCCGCCGCTGGCGTGTATGTGCTGCAATGAAACACAGTCAGCAAAGGCCTTATATTCGAAGGCGATGCATCCTGGTGCCTCTACTCTGTTAAGCTAAGCAGGTGACATCCTCGAAAGGCACTTTCTTCAATGCGCAGCACTGTGTTCTGGTTTGGTTGCTTGTTTGGCTGTGTTTTCTTTGTTTTTGGTTTACTTACCTGGAGATTCAATCCGAAGACAAAGATGACCTGTGCACAATGCACACATGGCGTCTCCTGTCTGTTTCATTCCTGGCTGGTAACTCACTTATCCGTAGCACAAGATGACCTGTGCAATTTCTGCACACATGGCGTCTCCACCCGTGCAAAAAAATGCACACATGGCGTCTCCACCTGTGCAAAATTTGAAAACGTTTGAGACGGTCTGCACCGACTGTGACTTTGGCTCAAGGAGCGGGATCGAAAGGCGAGTTTGCGCTGCCGTTTTTCACATCTGATACGCCATGACAATGTGTCTCTACACTTGGTCGCCTTCTTTGAGTTTTTCGCTTTTGTTTCAGTTTGGCGCCAGTGCCGCTCTTCAGAGACTGCCCTGCTTGCCTTTCCCAAAACACCGGCAAGCCAACAATCTGAGACATAGAAGTCGTCCACGCTCAGGCGACGATTCACATTGAAGTTATGCCATGCATGGACAAAATGTTTCCAAGAGATCCATAAGACTTCCTGGCTGGTCCGGTGCTGGTCTTTTGTTTTTGGTTTTGGGGGTTTTGGGTTTTTGTAGGTTTGGGTTTTGGTGCTTTTTTGGTTCCTCTTTTGATCGCAGGAAATCTTTGATCTCACAATAGCTGACCTTTGCATTCTTTGCCATGACTGGCAGCCAAACCCCTGCCAAAAGAATTAATTCGAATTTTGTGCAAGGTGACAAAATGACGCCATGAGATGCAAAAAATTTCTTGGTCGATTCTTTTTGTTTTTCTTGGTGGGTTTTGTTGTGTTTGTTTTGTGTTTGTTGGTTTGTTTGGTGTTTTTGTGTTTTGACCGCAAGAAATCTTTAATCTCTTCAGCGGCTGACCTTCGCATTCTCTGCGATTGACTGGCAGCCAGACTTGTGCAAAAAACGTTGCGTTGCAGTTCTGTGCTGTGTGAGCTGAGCCCGCGTTTGAGATGGGCGGCGGCGTGGTCGGGTCTGCACGGCTGCCGGCGTTGCAGCTGGCAATGCGTGGTCGGGATTGTGCGCGCTGCATGTGCACGTTTTCCAGCCACATGTGATGGGATTCTGCCTGCTTTCTGGGTGCAGGCTGGAGGTTCCAACATGGAAATGGATTTGCACAGCCGATAGAACTTTGTTTTCTCATGCCCAAAATTTTGCTCCGACCACAGGCCATGGCGTCGTATGATCACCTCTTTTGTTCCACCAGAGAGTGGGTGCAAGCCTGTCTTGCCAAAAAGGTTTTGCTGGGTGCATGTTGGCTTGATTCGTCGCGCTGTTCTCACGGCCAGTTGGTTGCTATCAAGGGTCCATGCCGGTGCAATTTTTGTGTTTGGTTAGTTCTTTGGTTTTGGTTGTTGGGCCACGCACTCGTGCAAGTGGCAGATGCTTGCACAGAAAATACAACATTTTGGCCACCTGGATGATGCGCCATGATGTTTTCGGGCCACCCTGTCATCTAGTTCTTTGGAAACCCCTCATTTGCGAAAGCGACCGCAATATTGCCAAAGTGCCGCAACACCTGGAAACCTGTTCAAACTCAGCCAAAGGATGCGACAATTTCATTTGAAGGATCTTGATTCGAGAGCGCGCACTTGAATGTCACCAAAAACTTTGAATCCAAATGTAAATCTTACATGTTGGTGTTTCGAGGATTGATTGCATACACACACATATATATATATATAGTGTTTGGGTTTGGACAAGTACAGGTTTGTTAGAAACAATGGATTTAGAAACAAAGAAGACAAACCCTCGAAACCTTTGATTTCATTGGTTTCGATCGGCTGACCTCTCGAAATGTTGAGTCTTGCCACCTTTCGCTTTGTGCTCTGCCTCTCGTGCCATGCTTCGAAGTATCTTCTCATGTTAGTGCCATGGACGGCCTTGAGGACACATTTGACAGTTGTTTTTCCTGTGTTCCTCGACTGCCAAGGGACTTCGACTTTCCTAGCCTGGTTTATATAAGGGAAGCGACATCTTGGGTTTGATATTAAATCTGATCAGTTTGCAATTGGCCTTGTGATCAGTTCTCAAGAAACACAGGCCAAGTGGTGTAACCGCAGCTTTAGGGCAAGCAGCGGAGCGCAAGCATTTTCACGGAGTTCCGGTGGCCAAGAGGTGGACGTGGTATGATGTGGTGCGTGATCTTTTGAAAATCGATTGATCTTTCAGAGGGCAGGACCGAGTCTTTCTTTTTTGCAGGAATGACATTCACACAGTTTGGATTCTTCTGTGTGCCTCGGCGTTTCTGAATTCATGCACCAACCGCCCAAGTCTTATGGGATTGGTTGGAAACATGTGCACCCAGGTCTTTGCAATCATTTCCAGAGCATTTGGACACGGAGCTCTGACCAAGCCTATGCCACGGTTGGTGTCAGGTTCGGGCAACCGACCAATTTGGCCGACTCTGAGACCCGACCAACTCAGGCCAAGAGTACTGCCCATGGTGTGTGGGCGAGCATCAGCCGGCCCACAGCCCATATTTTTTGGCAATGCGAACGATTGGACTTGAAGAAAGTAGTTTTGCTAGTGAGAGTGTTGCTAGCCGAGGTAACTAACCCATCTGGGTCAGTGCATCGTGATGCAGAGCCTTCAACTCCATGCTTGGGCTCGCAACCAGGCCAGTGGCAAAAGCAGAAGATGAAGCCGTGGGAAAAGACAACCGATTGTGCAAGAAGCATGTTCTCAGAAGATATGAATGTCATACATATGAGAGAATCAAGTTTAAACAAGCAGGCAAAATCCATAACAGACCCCATACTATTAGGTTGGAGGCCATCGCTTTTGGACCGGAGGTAGGTTGGAGGCCATTTCTATGAGTTACATAGTTACTTGAACAAAGCTGAGGTGATGCTCCATACACTTCAACCCGCTACAGCAGCTGCTTGAACGACAGTCGAAAGATGGGTTGGGTGTTTTCAGTTCCTAGATTGGTGTTTTCCCTTCCCGTGGTGTTTCCTTTTCCCAGATTGGTTTTTTCGGTTCCCGTGGTGTTTCTGGTTCCCAGGTCTTGGTGTTTTCAGTTCCTGGATTGGTGTTTTCCTTGCCCAGCTCCTGTGTTGGTGTTTTTGGTTCCCAGGTTTGGGTGTTTTCAGTCCTGGACAATGTGTTCCCTGCCCGGCTCCTGTGTTGGTGTGCCCTTTCACGTGTTTGTTTGTCAGCTTTCGATTGAATTTCTGGCTACCATTGCCCACCGCTGGATTTGAAAGCACGTACCTTGTCACACAATTAAACAGACAAAGAACACCGCAAAGCCGTCAAAGCCACTCGCTGTAAAAACATGTCAGTTTGCGTAAACCCACTGCCGCAAAAACACAAGGTACCCGGTGGTTCCTGCTCAGGCGTGATGCACAGGGGCTGGGTCGTAGCTTCTGGCGCTTTCGGACCAAATGTCGTTAGTGTGAACTGAAAGATGCTCTCCAAAAGGGCAAACAAACTTGCCGCCAGAAGGCGTTCCAAGATGGTTCGGGCGCTGGCAAGGCACGGCCGAAACTGAACAAGCATCGCTGAACCAAACCAATGGGTTTGGTGAAAGCTGCCAAACACCAGTACTGTAAGAAATAGAGCTCCTGCTGCAACCAAGACACCTCCATGTTTGTGGACACCGTCGTCGGAGGTGGCTCCTGCACCGGATCCAAACGGTGGGTTGGCTCACGCCGTGCGGCGCGCTTGCGGTCAAGCATGGTGGTGCGGCTGAACTCATCTCCATGCGCTGCGTCCAGGAACATTGTGAGATCCACGTGCTCCCCTTTCTTTGTGCCACCAGCTGACGTGCCACTGAAACTTAAATCCAAGCACTGACCAGCTTCGTCACTGTGACGTAGCTTGTCAATGGGCGGTGGTGGCGGTGGTGGTGGTCGTGGTCGTGGTCGTGGTGGTGGTGGTGTTGGTGTTGTTGTTGTTGTCGTGGATTTTCGCATGTTGTTTGTTGATCGTTGTTGGTCGTCGTTGTTAATCGTCGTCGTCGTCGTCGTCGTCGTCGTTGTCGTCGTGGTTGTTGTTGTTGTTGTGGTTGTTGTTGTGGTCGTTGTTGCTGTTGTTCGTGGTGGTCGTGGTGGTGGTGGTGGTGGTAGTGGTTGTGGCTTTTGGTGGTTCGTGTTTGTTCGTGTCTTTACAAAAATTCTTTCGCGTTGTCCCGCGACAACACAAGACTCCCACCATTTCACACGGGATCACAGCACACCCGACACCGGAACCGAAAACACCGGACGCGAAAACCAGAAACACCGGAGACCTAAACGCACGGAACGCGGGAACCGAAAACACCGGACGCGGGAACCGAAAACATCTGCGCATTTTTTCCCTCTTCAACGCAAGGCGGGAACCGAAAACACCATCACAGGAACTGAAAACACCCGCGGGCACTGAAAAAACCGAGCCGGGCACCGAAAACACCGCCGCGCGGGAACCAAAAACCCACTTGGCAACCAAAAACACCGCGGGAACCGAAAACACCAACGCGGGAAGAAAAAACACCGCGGGAACCAAAAACACCAATCCGGGAACCAAGAACCCGGAGCCCCCATGAGCGGCCCAATCACAGAAGATCTGCACCGTATTTTCGAAACACATCGCAGAAGCAATTGTGTCTAACTCAATTTGTGTTCTTTTGGTTTTCTTGGCCCGGGCCCAGGCTATTCTTCACATGCAGCTGCTGCAGAAGCCACATACACAGCTGGTGGAGCAATGCAGACAAGAATTGTGCTCCTTGGCGGCTATTGTAGAAAACTTGGCTTTCCACATAGAGTTGACAAACAGGCTGGATGCAGACCACAATGGAGATGCTATCTTCCAGTATTGTCCCCACTCGGAAGCACAAACAGCAACTTGGAGCACTGTTGGAACAGACTTGGGACATGGTGGCATCGGAATGGAACAATGTCTATTCAGGAGAAGTGCTTCCGAGACAGACCTTTGTCTGACTGGGAAGATGTCCATTCATATTGGGATGCAACGAACACGAGACTTGGCATTCGACATGCCTCCAGGATCCTTCATGCTACGCCAAGCAAGTATAAAAAAGCAAGAAACTGATTTGGATTGCAAGGGCTGGTCGAATTGTCCACGTTCACTTTGACAAATCGTTGATGCTTTCATGAAGACACTCACGAAATCCAAGGGATGACCACTGGAAATCTGGCCTGGATCGCAGAGCAAAGAGTTGATTTCGCGAGGTGACAGATGTGCTTTGTGCGCGTGTTTCATCCCGAGGCCAGACTTTTCCGCAAACAGTTGACCTGCCAGCAGACATGCCTTCTGGCCCTGTGTCCATCCGATGGTTGTGGGTTCCTTGGGCAATAAGCGCCTCAACAACAACACACTGCAAACCATTTTTCGAAGACTTTTGATTCGATGCAATTGGACGCTCGCAAGTGGCAAGCGCAAGGTATGCAAATACACCGATGAGATATTTGTCTCTTGCTTGGACACAGAAATTGTTGGAGGGAGTTCAACCACCGCGGCACCGACCACGGCTACAGTTACAACGACAGGGATTCTCGGCAACATTGTGCACATTCTAGGAATTATGAGTTGTAACGCATCTCGGCGGTCTCGGATTTTACTTTTGTGTAGGCCTCCAAGCACTGAGTGCATTTGGACAGAGCCACCTGTGGAACTGCAGCGAAGCCCACGGGAGGAGAAGGAGGGCAGAGTGTGTTGGGACTACACCGTTCCTGTTGGCACAAAGGTCTGAGCCTTATATACTGATTTCATCTGATTTCACTGGCTGGACATATTGCCTGCGAGCTTTGCATATTTTTGCCTTCTGAGGTTTACTACAAGTCCAAGACCGACATCTACATAAATTGGAATTCGGAAGCTTGTTGTCTTAGTGCTGCTGATACGTACGGCTCAGACGCACGCTCAAGTGACACCAATATTGTGGTCTTTACGCCGACCGGTAATTTTGGCTTTTGTGAATGCACTGCTTGGGATCCGAGCAATCCGGGAAGCTGTGCTGGAGAGGCAACTGCCACCAATATGATTTGTCCAGTACAGGGTGCTCAGAAGGAGATGTGTGAGGGAGCAGCATATTGGGATGGGCTGCCAGTCAACTGTGGGGGGTCGTCCACAGGGTCCACAACTTCGACCACGTCTCAGAGTGGGTCCGTCACCACAACTCTTTCCGGTGCAGGCTGCTGCTATTGGGATGCCAACCGTGGCTGCGAAGGGAATGACTTTTGCGATCAATCAAAGTCAAACTGCGAAGATACGTGCCAAGGTACGTGGAAACCAGAGTCAGCAACGACGACAAGCACCACAGATACGCTATCAACCACTGTGACCACTACCACAACCACAGTGACTACAACACCTGGAGTGACCACAGCTTCCACAACATACTCCTCGAGCGGCTTTGAACCTGTTGATGGAGGTGTTGACAGGGTGTGCCGCGGAGCATCTCCAACAGATAATCATCCGGACTACTTCATTGTCAAAAGTCACTTGCAGGAAGAACAGAGCAAGGAAACTTCAGAGAAGCTACAACGAATCTCAAACTTTAGGAGGGACAAGCTCTTCTAGTCCAGCACCATGTTCAGAAGGATTTCTTTTTGATAGCCTTTGGCGGCCTTGCAAAGAGATCTTTATATATATATATATTATATCATATTATATATATATATATTGAATTCTCTATGCCTTTCTCCTTTGTATTTCGCCACCATTGTGTCGTGGTTACGTGGTTCACGAAACTTCCCCAAGGCGTCACTTCCCTTGATGAATGCAAGCAGCGCTGCGTAGCTACCAACGGCTGCGTTGGTATCGAGCACATCAACACAAGATGTGAAATTTGGACTCGGCCGGAGGGGATCGGTGCTTCACTCAGTTGCTGAACACATACTTTTGCAGTAGTAGAACCCGGCTTCGGAAAATGCCGTGGACCAGGTGCGAGCTCATCAGGAGTTGGCTACACTTGTCTCCGCTACCTCGGAGGCTTGAACTGGAGCAGTGCAGAAGGAATCAACATGTGGTTCGATCTTGAGACCTCAAAGCAACTGCAGTGTGTGAAATGCCCGTCACAACTCAGCTTGCTTTGCTTCACAAGACTTATAACTCATAACTAAGGGCAATTTATAGCAAGCCGTTCAGACTTGACACAAAGGTCAAGGTGCGAGAATAGGACAAAACTTTGCAAAGGCAGCACGACCACTCCAAATCCAAGTCATTCCTGTGGACAGCTTCATGACCGGCAGAAGCCCAAGCGATTAGAGCGTTTCTGTCGAAGCCTGTCGTCGATTTGCTGTCGATCTTCCAAGGTGTGGCGGTCAAGACTATCTTGGGAGCACTTGCTGTGTCTCTGGCCTGAAATGTGAATACAAGGCACCTTGTGGATCGGATGAAACAGCATTAAGTGAGCATGAAGAGCCATGCTGAGCCAAGTAGACTTAACATGAGACACTTGGCTTCGTAAAAGACATTCCTTTGTGCAGGATGCGCATTCTTTTGTGCCAGGACATCTCATTCTCGCAGTGCATCCTGGATGAGTCAAACTCTGCTTCATGTGGGCAGATCTGGCAGCAGTCCCCAAGCTGCAGTGGCAAGACAGAGGTGGACAAGTGCAGGAATCAGCCGATCTTTGAAACTGATCGTTTTTGTTTGCTTTGAGACACCAAGGTGTGGTGGAAAAGGGTGGTCTGGCTTCGCAGATGCACTTGAGAAGAGATGGGACAAAGACTGGCCTTGGCTGTGGGAATGTCTTCAGCCTTGTGCGGTCAAGTCATGTTCGAGTACCAAGGCTTCAACTGCTGCGTGGAAGGCCTCACATGTGTTTGGGGCAATGACTACTACTCACAGTGCTTGACACTTGTCTTACATGCACTTCGCAGTGCTTGCCTGAAACTTGTCAAAGTGGATTGTTCATTAAAACTATGTGCTTTGTGCAGTGGAGCATCTCATACCATCTCAGAATGAGGCGAACGCCAGGATCACTGCTCGAGGACACTGATCGCCACCTTATTTTCTTGGCTAAATGTCAGGATCAGAAAAAGGACAAGGATACAATATGATATACAGTAGTTTCGAATATATGAAATAGAATCGTTGCAGCATTTGGCATCAATTTGAGTTCCATTTCAGGAGGCAAAACCAAAACGATCTCGGCTTCGCAAGTCAAGGTGCATCAGTCTAGAATCTCCAAACAAGCTGTGAGACATGACAGACACCTGGTCTTTTGAAGGCAGACTGTCCTCGAGTCCAGACCATCCTTTGTACAGCGTTCGAGCAAGATCACAACGGTATCCTTGGAGCTGTGATCAAGTGGAGATGAACACTTGAAATTCGTCGCCGGGCTGAAGCATCCGAGTCACAGCACTCATCTACTGCTAAGCTCTTTTTCTTTTCCTATATTTCCCTTGCTACAGATTCAGTTTTGTGCAGATTTTTCTGAAAAATCCACGAAGCGAGAGTAAAATCGCTTGGACATCCGTGGACTGTTCAGGCATCTCTGCAATTGTATAGTGATTTAATTCAGAGTGCGGACGGCAGACGTCCGCACTTTAGAATGGGCTTCTATGCCCATTTCAGTCTGTGCCTTGACTTGACGTGCCAGGAGCCAATCCATTCCTGCCACGGTCTTTGCTTGAGCTTCGAAAGTACGAAAAGCGAGAATACATTTGTCTTCAATGCAAGCCAATCATGTTTTGTGGACGTGATGACTCAGCGATGATGTGATCTTGACCTTCTGTGCTTAGCAACTCAGCCTGTGAAAACCATGAAATCTTCCAAGCAGAACACTGCAACAAGTGCAGGGCACAGTGTGATGCTGTGCTTATAGGATTTTCATAGTAAGTTTTTTGGATGTCCAAGTTTCGATATTTTCACGCAGGCCTCCTCAGTATCCCGCCACATGTCCAAACCAATTCGGGCAGCGCGATTTGATGAGTCTTCGCTCTTAGCACTGTCCCAAGTTGTACGAGCATTCGAGAGATCTGACAGAAACGAACCGTTTTCTTTTGGTTCTAAGAACATGCAGGATGGTTTCGAAGGGCACAAGCTGCTACACGAGGCACAAATCAAAAGCACTGATTTTGCATGAAGCTTTCTTTTTTGCTGTTGTCAGGCCATCCAGCAATACGGTGGCAATGAACGATCAAGGCCATGGCTAGAATGGCTTCGTAGTGGGTCATTGGCCCCGCATTGTTTTCGCGTGCTTTCAAAAGGCCAACGGCATAAAGACAGTTTTTGATCGCTGACAAATCATCCTTGGAAGCACTGCCCTTGCAAACTAGCAGACCAGCTATGACAGAGATGGCTGTTAAAACTCTGGAGACGGATTCTGAGAGCTCGATGTGAAAGACTGAAAGAACAAACTGTAGGCCATCGCTAGGTTTGAGGCCATCACAGATGATGCGACCTGTGGCGATTTTCCACCTTGGTCATGTGGGAACTTGCACGTCCTTCTATCTTGGGTTTTTGCACGAGGTTGTTTTTTTGGGCGCTCGGCTTCCATTTTGGCCAGGCGAAACTTCCAGAGAGAGAAGACTCCTGAGTTTGCTGGAGGTGGGTGCTAGACTTGTGACTGATCAGGAGTCAGGAGAGTGGCATTGTATTCTTCCGCTGTTCTGTTGGCCAGGTCCAAGAAACAGAGGCAGTGGTGATGCCACCTCGTTTGACAAGACCAGCTCCATTCAACACAACACACTCATCATTGTCCTTTTTCGATCAGACCCGAAGGGAATTCCCGAATTGTTTCCAACGATTTTGAGTGATCACAGTTGGCGTTGCGTTCCTGTTGGTTCTAACTGCTGGCAGATTTCTCAATATCACAGCACACATTCAAGCTATTCCAATTTCTCACAATCAAGGAACCATTGGCAATTGCTTGAACTGGTCAGAGTTCGATTTTGTACATTTCAGCACAAGAAGACCAAGCACAATTGAAGGAGTCCGAAATAGTTGGGCCAGAGATGTCCTTGCGCCATGTTTTCTGGTCCCGTGCGAGTGCAGCCTGACGTTAAGCTCCTTGGCAACAACCACCTGCATCCACAAATTTGATCAAATTTGATTGTTGAATTGAATGTGCACAACCGGTATATCCAGCACTTGGGGCCGGGGCAATGAAATCTGCAGTTCTCCAGCTTCCAACCGAATAGTGAGGGCCTCCAACTTCAGTTTGCAAGTTCAGAACCGCTTTCCAGTTTGCAAGGAAGCTCTCGCTAGGTATGTGGCGGAAGTGGTTGTTTTGGTCACCTCCCTCGGTGCCAAGCGCACGGAGTTCAATGCGGGAAAGCGCGCCAGGGACCACCTTCCGCATTCTGCGTGGAACATTGTGCTACTTTTTCTTTGAAAGGGATAGGTAGGCCATGAGGGGTGGCTAAGAGCTAGCAGCCAGCTAGTATTGGTAGTAGTAAGGGGTAAGTAGGTAGCTCAGGCTTCTTCAAGGAAGCTCCCCAGCGTGAGGGTGGGGGAAGCTTTCTTGAAGAACCTCTTGCATGATTGATTTGGTTCTTGGGAAACTTAACATTCCTGTTTTGTGCTTGTCACTTGCTGATCAACACCGCATGTTACATGTTGCCGTTTTGATGCAGGACCTCTTGGAGATCAAGGGTGTCTTCTCCTTACCCTCCAAGCTTCAGATCAAACGGCGGAAATGACGAGAGAGAAAGAGGAAAGAGCAAAGATAGATATCTTCTTTTTTGGCTTAAACATGTGTTTTGTTTTGCTTGGCAACAGGTCCACCACAAGATCATTGATTTCAACCGTGATGCTCGCCAAGCTGGAAGCGGTGATTCAGAGAACAAGGAGTGCAGTGGAGCGCCGAGTGCGATCATGGGACCAGCCGAGTCCGAGCGCTAATTACTTTGCTTTAGCATTCGCAATCTTTGCTTTTGACAGGCAATTGCCAAGCTGAATGCAGATGGTAGACTTCGAAGTGGCAACAATAATGACCTGATTCTTCCTCAGGCTACTCGAAGATTTTTGGAATGTGCTGAAATGGAAAGAAGGGTCAATAAAGGACAAACTGAGAAGCCTTGTTTTGCTTGCGACATTCAAGGTTTTTATCGATGGCCAGTTTGCAACCTTGATGAATTGGAAAGTTGACATTGTGGAGTGTAATTCTATTCCTTTGCTTCTGTGTGAAACGCATGCATGCACGCGACAGAGCTACTAGGTTGGAGGCCATCGCTACTAGAAGCAAGAAGCTACTAGGAACAAGAAGCTACTACGGGCTCCTGGCCTTACTACTAGGAGCAAGGACGCTACTAAGGGCTCCTGGCATCGCTACTAGTAGCAAGAAGAGAAACAAGAAGCTACTAGGCGGAGGAGGTTTGTTCTCTGAGGTGGGCAATGGCACCGACCTGCAAGGCCTTGAAGACGACGGCCTGCTTGACAACATCCTGAAGCGCATGGGACTTAGTTGCTGAAAATTCATTGACAGGCAGGTTGAGCTTGTAACGAATCAGAGATTCCAGGCATACCTTGAAGAGCAGATATTTCTTGCCCCTTTTTGTTGATATTAACTAGGAAGTTACTGTCAGAACTTTGCTCGCCTGAAGGCCAAGCGTGCATGAGCTGCGGCTCCACTCGTGACTCGTGCAGAATGTCCTGTCTTTGTAATTGAGTATGAGGTGTGTTGTGTTCTACTTGTTTCTTGGAATTGGCCTGGAGAAACTCAGCTCATATGCACCTTTGAGCTGAGATAGAGCAATATATCTACAGTAAGTGATTGTTAACAAGCACAGACCTACCGGAAGCTTTGGGATGTCATTCCTTCAAGGTTGTGTAGGCTCTGCGGCATCCTTCTTTTTTCTTGCGAGCCTTGATTGTTGAGCTTGCATGTTTTTGATCAAAAGCGATGCCATGCATCACAAATTATATATTGTTTTCATGTAGGCGTTCTATGTTTTGTTTTGTGTCCTATATTTTCAGATTAAGGTTCTCAGATAAAGCGCTAAAGGGGTATGTCCGCGTTCAAACAGGCTGGAGGTTCTTAGTTAAACCCGTTGTCAGGTGTTTTGGCCTGATAAATGTTTGCCTATAAGTACTCATTCTGGCTGAGTGGACTGCTAGATTGTGGTCAGTTGTCCGTGCTCACAGTATGGCGTACGGGAAGTATGCTTGATGATACAGGTGTGGCCTTGAGTTCGGGCCGGCATTGCCCTTGAGAAGCAAAGGTTTTTGTCAGTGTTTGCAACATGTTTTGAACATAACAACACCTTTTCGATCAATGGTTTTTCTTTAGGTGCCGAGAACATCTTCAGCACTTATTTTGAGCAAAGGAATTTGCAGCAACTGGGCACTCTTTCATTTTCGTGCCTAGGGCGGAAGCCCGACATGACGCAATGTCCAGCCTGTTGGGCTCACTTCGAGGCACGGGCTTTTCAGAGCATATAAAAGGCATCGCCTAACAGGCTGCTTAAAGTAGCTTCTTGTTCCTAGTAGCTTCTTGCTACTAGTAGTATGGCCAGGAGCCCCTAGTAGCGTCCTTGCTCCTAGTAGCGATGCCAGGATCCCCTAATAGCTTCTTGTAAAACAATCCTATTCTTTTCTGTTTTTCACTATATTCCTTGAAGCTTTGTGCTCTGATGTTGACTGGTGGCTGGCAGAAGTTTGAGGAGATACTACCTGGCGAGATGACCATTACAGAGAAGCTTCAGGTTGGGCTACTGGCATCCAGACATGTGTCCCTGCTCAATCTGCACAGGAGTTCCAGGAGCTTCAGGACGATGAGGCAAACATAGACAGATTCAGCTGTTGGGACTGCTCCATTGCAATTAGACGACCTTATTCGGTCCCATTCGGACCAATTTGAATTCGACGTCAGTTTGAAGATGAAGAAGAGGAGGCATTGGAGGCGACAGATCATTTTATGCCCAGTCTTGCGAAGAGTTCACAGCTCCTAGATCGATCGTGGGTGGGACAGGAGCATTTTCATTTTGCAGGAAGACATGATGCCTACCATGACTGGCATGCCTACGGAGATACCAGATGAACGCTGGGAGCTCTGAAGCAAGTACGTTTCGACTTTTGTTTTGCATCACGAACCCGTTCAACAGCCTCTTATCTAACTTTGTTGTTTGTCACGCTTCATGGACCTAGTGTACCTCCAAGGTTCTCGTCGTGCAGGTTACGGAACAGATTCTCGCCCGCATGAGATGAAGTCAACATCTGGAGGGTCATGTGACAAAAGGCGAACATGTTCTTTGTTATCCAAGGCGAACATACCAGGCCTCCTGGCGCAACTTTGTAGTGACAATTCAGAAAGACCGTTGCCTGTCACACATCTGTTCTCCTTGAGAAAATTTGCTAGGTCCGCAGTACACTGAAGAGGAGCTGGTTTGGGCCCCAGCATGGCTTTGCTTAAACCAATCAACACCAATTCTCTGAATGTTTGTCAGTGACTACTTTGCTCACAACTTTTGGAGAACTTTGACACATCGGGGTTGTTCACGTTTCCTTTATGAGATGACTATTGCCAAGAGGTTATTTTAGGTGTCCTTCGGTGTCGAGGGTTTGAAGGTCAGCTGAGAACACAGACTCCGAAGGATGCCCGACCAATGGATCGTCGCCAGCGGTGCAAGTTTGCTCCAGGCTATTCTAGCCACTGCTGAGTTTGAGATCAAAGACCAGGCATATTTCAGACTTGATTGTGAACACGCATATTGAACCCGCTCTTTTTTTGTAGGTTCAGTACTGGAGTGATTCTCGGAATCGTTGGATGGATGCAGTTGTGGACAACATTCGTCTCAAAGTTTCTTGACAAAAGCAGCAAGACATCCACACCAGAAAGCGCCGGGAGAAGAGATTAGACGTGCATGTGTGATTTTGTAGAAGCAGTACACAGATTGTGAATAGTGTATATACAGTGTAGGCGATGCTTCTACAAATTCAAACAATGTAGTAGGCTTTTGCTGCTAACAAGAGGCATGGCGACATGTTTATAGAAGACAGCATTCCAGTCTTTCTGTGTGAATTCCATGCTCCTTGCCACACAAAATTCAATCTTGTCTACTCTCAACAGTCCGGAATGCAGTATTGAATTGCAACTGACATCGTGCTGAGAATGTTGGCGCCCAAGTGGCGCTTTCAAACAACATATGGGTTCATGCTCCTTCAAACAAGATGTTGAGTTTCTGAAGGAGTAGCATGTTTTCATTTGCAATCAATTGGTTTAGCTGCACAACTCTGTTTCCAACTTAGGACGGCAGAGTCGTGTACGATCTGAAGCTTAGCTGTGTCCATTCTCTTGGTGGGTTTTCAGAATGGTAAAGTGTTATATATTGAATTGATGAAGTTTGAGGGATTGATGAAGTTTGTAACCGTTCCTTTTTGCCCAGGAACTGCAAGCGTGGAGCACATGCAGACAAGATCAGGAACTACGACAATGCTCCTGAGGAATGAATCCGCTAGCAAGTTGCTCTCGTGAACATGTCGCAAGCTCCTGCGGTTTTCGCCTAGCTTGGGAAGCTTTCTGAGAAAGATAGCTAATGACAGAGTGCTGCAAGTCAGACTCTGGAGTGCACAGACGTACAGGAAGTCTCCAGTCTCCGGCAGTTCTGCGAAAATATATCCGCCTGCCCTCACCCTAATAGCGATGGCCTCCACCCTAGTAGCGATGGCCTCCAACCTACTAACGATGGCCTCCGACCTAATAGCCATGGCATTTTCCATTCCGATTTGATTTGCTTTTTGACTCTCTGGACTTTTGAGCACGTCGCAACGAAGATCATATGTCATATTTCGACATGAGACTTGGGAAGGTTTCTCGATAGACAAGTTTGTAACTTGGTCAAACTAAGAGGGATGCTGTAGTGACTCGTGTTGGGAAGAGCTTGAAATGCGAAACGTCTTTTGCGATGCTTGGCTGATGTCGCCCTGAATGGCAAGAGCACCGCGAGAGTGCAGCTTTGGCCTGCTGGAGGTCCTTTGTCCGGCTCTTGGAATGACGAATCCAGATTCAGAATTGATCAAAATTTCTTTAGAGCTTTCAATTGATCAACTTTCCAAGACTTTGGGCACATTCCAGGCCTTGCTCTTTTCCTCACCCTTCCAAGGCTGGAGTTGTTGCTGAAGAAGCTAGATAATGTAGTAAGCGAAACGATGCTTATGGTAACTTAGTAACTTCTCTGCAGGCTTCAAAGGCCACTCCTGCTCCCTAGAGGACGTACCGCATTGCGAGCCAAGGTGCTGTGTCAAACTGGGCAGAGTTTACAATACTTGAAAAGCTTCTATTGGCTAGTAACTAGATGTAACTAGATGTAACCAGTAACATTTAGTGGTTCTAGTTTTTCTTTGGTCCTACTCTTTAACGAGGGTCACTCTGCAGAAGCATCTTGCAACATCAACCTGCCAGGCATCCGGACCATCTCCAGAGGCGGTTTAAGTGCGAAGTGCATGCCGAAGAGAGCAAAGAAAGTGGTGCAGTGCACGCACGAGGCATGGCGAGAATTTCGTGCACAGCTCATTGCACAAGAATCGCCCAAGGACTGAAACACCAACTCTTGCTCCCTCAAAAGCCTCTCACTTTGTCGTTTCGTTTCCAGGAGCAAGATCGTCATGTGGCTTTGTTGAATGAGAAGCTCTTGCGCTCCCAAAGCGAGGAGAAGATCTCTTTGACTCGTCACACTTGCGAATGTGATAACTGTGACTGTTCGCAACGAGACGAGAGCTCGATATGAGGAGCTTTGGAATGCACCTCGAGCTGCATTTAGAGCTCCTTTGACATTTCGACTTTCGCCTCGCACCACAAAAGACGCAAGACAGCCATAAATCCATAAATTTTGGTGAAATCAGAAAGAAAAGGCAAAAGACAAGAGGGGAAAACAACTTAGAATGGTGACAGCTCATCAAGGGAGAAAAGAACTCAATGAAAGACTAGTGACTAGAGAAGCAAAGGAAGTTGGAAGTGTGTTGTTTTGCTCGAGGAGTACATGAGTGGCGCTTGGGCACATGTCGCGCCAGTGGAAGTGGGTGGCTTGCTATGCAGAAGCCCTTTGCCAGCGCAGCTGACATGGCTCATGCGTCAGGCAAAGTGCATCGGAAAGTCAAGAGGCTTTCACCTGTGAAAGCTGTGAACGTTTTCGAAGGCTTCAACAAGGGAAATGCTTTCCCGCGAAGTGGACTTGCCTTTTATATTAGCCCTTTGCTGCAATGTGCAATGCTGATGTGGAGGATGCTGACTTTATTTGGGCTAGACAATTGCGGAAGATGCTTTTAGCGGAGCTGCCCCAAGTGGATGGGCGCCCTCAGGAGGAGCGCTGAAACGTGAGACAAGGTGAAACGAGTCATTTCGGCAAACGACCTTAGGCGCAAAATTTAGGGTATCACTCGCCTAAAATTTAGATAATTTGTTTGCGGTCTTACGATTTCCGTTTTGCCGTTTGCGTCTCCAGTCTCCAGGGATCTAGATTTCGATAAGCACCATGTGACTGTGAAAAGCACCTGCGTTTCTGCGCTTTCTGCAAAGCCTTTCCGCATTCATGTGGACGGATGGTACTCGGTCTTTCAAACAGACGTCATCGATCAGTGCAACGAGCCCACTAATATTTTCACATTGTTCTTCCATCGCTATTAGGTTGGAGGCCATTCCTAGTAGGGCGGAGGCCATCGCTACTAGTAGCAAGAAGCTACTACAGTAGGTTGGAGGCCATCGCGATTGGGTTGGAGGCCATTCCTAGTAGGGTGGAGCCCATCTCCAGTAGGTTGGCCGCCTTCGCTACTAGTAGCAAGAAGCTATTAGGTTGGAGGCCATCGCGATTAGGTTGGAGGCGAATCCTAGTAGGGCGGAGCCGATCGCCAGTAGGTTGGCTGCCTTCGCTACTAGTAGCAAGAAGCTACTAGGTTGGAGTAGCAAGAAGCTACTAGGTGGGAGGCCTTCGCCATTAGGTTGTAGGCCATTCCTAGTAGGGTGGAGGCCATCGCTACTAGTAGCAAGAAGCTACTAGGTGGGAGGCCTTCGCTATTACGATTATTACGTTGGATGCCTTCCTAAGAACGGCTTGTGACCGCAGCAGCTCCGCGCTTTGATGACCACAGTTGATCCAAACTCTGCGCTGAAATGGTCCTAAGAGTTCTTGCGTTTTTTGGAAGCGTCAAAATGGCGACGACTGCGACTGCACAAATAGGGCTGTCAGGTTGCAGAAAAATCGAACAGCAAAACGCAGCCTTTGTGATTTGAGGAGCTCTTGCAGACATTTTCGCAAAACACAATGTACTGCAGCTCGGCTCCGATATAAAGTTGCAGGCGGGCCCTTTTGTCAGTTTTTGTGTGTGCTTTATTTTTCTTTTTAATTCTTTATCGCGTTTCCAACTTCGTGGTACGGTGCTTACTTTTTTCTATGACTCTGTCAGGAATGGGTTGCCAAGGTATGAAGGTTGAATGCACGTTTTGTCCCAACAGCGCTGGACAGATTTCGGAAGGTTTCATGAAAAGACATCATTTGTACAACGTTCCCAGGGAACCGAACCCGTGTCCTTCCAGAGTCGGAGGCTCCTCACAGATCCCTTCTGCTGAGGTCTAACCGGTGTAACCGATCTTGAAAAGATCATTTGGAACCGTTGGCTGCGCCAGACATTTATTGCTCCCCTGTTTCATGCATTTGACCCTGGACCTACAGTAGATAATCAGATAGGACCTGCATTTGTTTAGCTGCATGGCTTTCAGATCGCAGTAACAGCTTCAAGTGCAGCAATCAACATACAGCTTGCAATTCACTTGCAAGTACCGTCCTTGTCCACAGCTTTGTCCAACCTTTGAGGAATTCTGTTTGGCCTGTGTGTTGAGGCTACAAGTTGGCCGACCGCCTGGTAAATGATGCAGCTCGGCTCATCTCCACTCATCTCAGCAGTTCATTTCTATTTCTTTAGAAAGATAGTTTTTGCTCATTCAAGCGCGTTGCATGTTAAGGCATTGACCAAGATTGTCCAAAAAAAGCTGGAAAGGCTTGATGATGCCGTGGCTAAGCTGTACGATACCATGAAAAGCTGACACCGGCTTGAGGGCGATGACAAACAAAGACTTATCATTGAGGAAGGAGCCAGAACATAAAGGTTCTATCGAACAACCCATGTGAACATCTAGTGCGCTGGATGTTTACAATCTTTTGCTATGATTTACCCATGGCAGGATGACCCTTTCGCCAAGACCTTTCCGTCACTTCACTTCTTCCCAAGGACAAGGAACTGATCGTACTCTATGGAGACATGGCTGCTTGGCCGGGCCATGACGATCTACCAGAGTCAGTTTTCTTGCCCAACAGCGAAGCTTAGGTTTGTCTAGTCATAGTCTAGTCGTAAAGATATCGGAGTAGGTTCCGGAGGAGGTTCCAGAGCAAGTTCCAGAGAGCAGGTTGCGGAACAGGTTCGGGAACAGACTCTGGAGCAAGCTCTGGAGCACTATGCAGAGGTGCTGACATGGCATCATGCTGGCATGTTGTCATGCCGTCAGGCTACTGTGCTTGTATGGTGTGCGCTGTCGGGCCGGCATTGCAACGTAACTAACGTGCTGTCACTCTGTCGTAAACATGATGTTGTGTTGATACCCGGCTTTTGCTGACATGCTAAACTAATCTAAACTATTTGTTGTCGTGCTGACATGCAGAAATGCCGTGCTGGCGCGTTGTAACATAGTGTTGTGGTGTGGACGTGTTGGCACGTCAACATGTCACGCTTATAAGCTGGCACGATGCCAGGCCGACATATTGTCAGGCAGTCATGCAGACCTGTTGTCATGCTGGCACGCTGGCATGGGTCACATCAACATGCTGACCCTTTGTCATGCTGAGATGCTGAAGTCGGGTCACGCTGTCGTGCTGACATGGTTGCGGGCTCTAGAGTGGGTTCCGGAGCAGGTTTTGTGGTTCTTGCTTGTTGTGGTCGTGTCATGTTTTTGACATACATGTGCGTTGCTGCTATGCCAACATGCAGTGTTGTGATGCTCTCATGGCACGAAAAGGTTCACTTTTCAAGCATTTTTTGCAAAGACACAGCGCTTGATGTTGCCATTGCCTAATAGGCGGATTCAGGGCCTCTTGGGGATCTTTCTTTTTCTTTTGGCTAGACTTAGCGATGCCTTTTGTTCCTAGTAGTTTCTTGTTAGCAGTAATGCCAGGAGCTACTAGTAGCGTCCTTTGTTTCTAGTAGCTTCTTGTTGGCAGTAATGCCAGGCACGCCCCTAGTAGCGTCCTTGCTCCTAGTAGCCCTAGTAGCTTTTTGTTAGCAGTAATGCTAGGCACGCCCCTAGTAGCGTCCTTGCTCCTAGTAGTGATGCCCTTTGTTCCTAGTAGCTTCTTGTCAGCAGTATTGCCAGGAGCTACTAGTAGCGTCCTTGCTCCTAGCAGCGATGCCCTTTGTTCCTAGTAGCTTCTTGTTAGCAGTAATGCCAGGCACGCCCCTAGTAGCGT